GGTTGCTACTATTCAGTCTCTCTCGGGCACCGGATCGCTGCGTCTCGCTGCAGCATTCATACAAAGATACTTCCCTGAAGCTAAAGTAATCATATCGTCACCCACCTGGGGTAAGTATGTTGATGCGACTATTCTTCATGACTTGATGTACCTACCCAAATCATGACTCATAGGTCTTGGGCTATCATTGTTTTTGGTGAAATGTGAAGTGTCTCAGTGGTGGACTTCTAATTTCATTCATTCTACTTGTTGACAGGTAACCACAAGAATATCTTCAATGATGCTAGGGTACCTTGGTCAGAGTACCGGTATTATGACCCCAAGACTGTTGGATTGGATTTTGAGGGAATGATAGCTGACATTGAGGTACTTGGATATTGTCATTTATTTCACTATTGTTATTTTTGCTAGGTATCTTCCATTTTATGAACTTTGTTGGGTCTAAGGAGTAATGCTTTAATAAATTAGTCCTGAATTCATCTAAAGAATTTTTTGTTTTGAAAATGAACAATTCGCTTTCAGTTGATTGTTTATGCCATTATCTATTCATTTCCTCTTTTCACAACAGGCTGCTCCTGAAGGATCTTTTGTTCTGCTACATGGTTGTGCTCACAACCCAACTGGAATAGACCCAACTCCTGAACAGTGGGAGAAAATTGCAGATGTCATTCAAGAGAAAAAACATATGCCCTTCTTTGATGTTGCATATCAGGTGAATTGTTTTTGCTTGAGTACCTTTTCTTCTATGTATGTATCGCAATATCTCTTCCACTGACTGGTAGGTTTTCCTTTAGGGTTTTGCCAGTGGAAGCCTTGATGAAGATGCATTTTCTGTCAGGCTTTTTGTTAAGCGTGGCATGGAAGTGTTTGTTGCACAATCTTACAGCAAGAACCTTGGTCTATATTCTGAAAGGATTGGTGCAATAAATGTCGTGTGCTCAGCACCAGACGTTGCAGATAGGTATTCTTTTGTTTTTTTTTACTGATTGCTTGCGTACCCAGTCCCCCTCGACCCAATTTCATTCAGTAGTTGCAAATGCTTGAGCAAGCACTATAGGCAACCCGTTTGTAATTTTTTATCCTTCATTAACAATCAATTTTTCCAATAGTTGCTTCATATACAGAATTGGCAGGCAATATAGTCTTCCTATTGCTGCAATAGACTTATCTCCTTATTGCATTCCACATTGCTTTCTTTCAGGGTAAAGAGCCAGCTGAAACGATTGGCACGGCCCATGTACTCGAACCCCCCTATTCACGGTGCCAGGATAGTTGCCAATGTTGTTGGTGATCTGACTATGTTTGGTGAATGGAAACAAGAGATGGAGGAAATGGCTGGGCGGATCAAGAATGTAAGACAGAAGCTCTACGATAGTTTGTCTGCGAAGGACCAGAGTGGCAAAGACTGGTCTTTCATTCTGAGGCAGATTGGCATGTTCTCCTACACTGGCTTGAACAAAGCACAGGTATCACTGTTCCACTTTTTCTGCTGTGCAGACATCACACGCTAAATTAAGTTCCAATCACGGGTTGCCCACTAATTGTCGAAACATACATATCATCTACAAAAAAAAACATAAACCCATAATTTCCATTCTTTGTCTGCAGAGTGATAACATGACGGATAAATGGCATGTTTACATGACCAAGGATGGGCGGATCTCGTTAGCTGGGCTGTCCCTGGCTAAATGTGATTATCTTGCCGACGCCATCATCGATTCCTTCCATAACGTCAACTAGGTTGAGGTACAAATAGTTGAGGGTCAACTAGGCTGGGATTTTTGGGTCCTTCCAGCTATACAGTTTTTCCTATGTATTCCATTTGGTGTAACTTTGATTAAATAAATTTTGTCAAAACCCATGTGCCTTTTTTACTTGTACAATACAATCAGTACGTGGCTCTACAGGATTGTAACACTTGAATGAAACAATGGCATTACCGATATTAATTGCCCCCCATATCACTCCTGCGTGCATACTGTTTGCCCGATGGCCAACTGGCCGGTATGTTCTGCAGAACTCTTATCTTCTTAGAGATCTCGATAGCTCGGTTTTTTGTTTTTGTTTTTTGTTTTTAAGCTGGCAGGAGCTGCAGATTATGATTCAAGGCCCAGGACCAGTGCTTGCTCATTGCTGGAGGGCTGGAGGCTGTAGCACGCTGTAGCATGTAGCAGGAGGATATCCTTCATGTGGTAGTAGTCGTGACAGCCTCACATGGAGCTACTGATTGAGACTATCAAGATTCCTCTTTATCTCTCGGAAGTTGCCATTCCACCGAACTGATTGGCAGTTGTCCCCCACTTTTTCCCACCCCCTTTCTTGCCGTCATTTCGTTCGTTCGACAGTCGCCAAGGTTCCATTCGGTCCCCGTAGATAAGGAGCAGCAAACGATCCGTCGCAGCCGTTCGCCGGAGCGGCTGGCTCCGCGGCGTCTACCGCCGTGCCATGACCGCGGCGGCGGCGGCTGTGGCCTTGGGGGGCCTGATCTCGCCGCGTAGCTATGCAGTACAGCCCTCCAGGCTCCAGCGATACATGCGGTGTACATACGCGGGTCAGGTCGGCAGACGGCAGCTCTCGCCTAGTGGTGTCCATTTCACACGCGTCTTGTTCACCCTGACGGCCGGGCGCCGGGCCGGGGCGAGGAACCGGTGCAAGTAACGCAAGTGGGTGGTGGAGGTGCATGCGGTGCACGTGAGCGAGGTGGTGGACGCTCGCATGTCGGCATCACCTTTCTTTCCTCTCGCTGTCTGTCTCTGTCCCCCACCCACAGCAGGCCCCGGGCCCACGTCCTTACGTGCCCCCAGCCTTTTTCTGTGTTTAGGCCTAGTTCACTTAAAAAAAAAGTGAACCCGATAAATAGTACCATTTTCGTTTTATTTGGCAAATATTGTTCAATCGTGGACCAACTAGGCTCAAAAGATTCATCTCGTGATTTTCAACTAAACTGTGTAATTAGTTATTTTTTTACCTACATTTAATACTATATGCAAGCGGCTAAAAATTGATCTGATGGAGAGAGAGTGAAAAAACCTGAAATTTGGATGGCATCTAAACAAGGCGTTAGTCGGCGAAATTTATGAATTTGGCTACTGTAGCATTTTGTTTTTATTTAATAATTAGTGTTCAATCATGAACTAACTAGGCTCAAAACGTTCGTCTCGCGATTTCCAACCAAACTGTGCAATTAGTTTTTTTTTCGTCTACATTTAATACTCCCTACACGTATCGCAAGATTCGATGTGATGAGTACTATAACACTTTTTAGAATTTTTTTTGAAACTAAACATAGCCTTAGCCGCTAGTATATTTTTTATTTATTAAAATATAATCACCACGAAACCGATACCTCCTCTCCCCTCGCGCACCTTAGCACCCCCTCGCCCGTATGACATGTGGGCCGCAGGGGGAAGTGGCGGGCCCGCAGCAAGCGCAAGGCTTGGTTGCCAAAGGTGAGGGAAGGTATTGGGTGCCATGTTTTCTCTCTCCTCTAAGTGGACCCCACGCAGCATACTGACATGTATGAAGTAACCAGGAGGACCATGGATGATAATGAGATTACGAATCCTAAATTACACCATTTTTTAATCCCATGTTGACGCTGCCAAATGATGCGAAATCCTTTGAGTCAGTATAGCCTTGAGATTATTTATATAATTATTATCTATTTGTTTAGTTTATTTTACGCCAAAAGATGCCGAGCGTCAATTATGGAGGTGGGGGAGATTATTGGACGGATTAATTAAATATGGTGGGTGGGGATTAGTAAATGCGGACGCGCCGGGGCCGGGCTGGGCCCTGCGCGGCTGCTGGGAAACCGCCTTGCAGGCCGGGCGCTGGAAATGGCACCACAGCTGTCGCTTGGCCCACCACCTCTACGCGGCTCCCACGGCAACTACCGCACCGGGTACTGTACTGCGACCCCTACCATTCTCTCTTTTCTGTTTCTTCTTTCATTTTCTTTTGGTTGCTGCTTTGTTTTCTTTTGCGAGCATTATGCTGCTGCTGTGGTTTCTTTTTGCCCGGGTCATTATTTGGTTCATGGGAGACTTTGGCGCAAAGGTTACCTACGAATTACAGTACTGCCACAAGTATAGGTTTTGGTCGATAGATATAATAATAGATAGCTAAAAAAACAATAAAATAGCAAACACATGTTGCAACTTGTAACCATTACGTGATTTGTTCACTACAGTAAGGTCTATATTTTTTTTGCAATGAGTACATTATAACAAAGACTAAACATCTTGCTTCTCAAAAAGTCAATTAATCTTCAATTTAAGCAGTATATGGAAAAATACTAATATTATATATATATATATAATAAGTATTGAATGTATCTATCTATTTCTACAATAAACTTCTATAAAGGTGTAAATGCTGATAGTTAAATTTGAAATTGTTTAATTTCTACTACTACTATGAAACAATATTTCATTCTACGATGGCAGAGCCTGAAATTCAGAGGAACAACGAGGGCAAGAGCGTAACCTGCGCACAACAAATAATCGAGCCGCCCCCATGCCGATCACACCGATGAGTCACACGGCCGCGTGCGGGCCCCGCTCAACAAAGGCGGGCGGTGCCGACACCGGGCCCACCGCGAACGCGTCGGGCCCGGCATCCGCAGCCGGCCGTCCCTTCGCATCCGACGGCTCCCCTCCCCGCCACGCACAACCAAAAAGATCTCCCTCGCATGTCGCAGCCCGACGAACCGAGCCAAAGAAAAAAAAAATCGATTTCCTTTTTTCACCATCTCATCATCATCATGTGAAATAAAAAAAGGAGAAATTCTGGCCAAGCACGCAACGCAACCCCCCTCGCCCGCTCCGGTCCATATAACCCGTCCACCGCCACCCGTTGGTCTCGTCTCGCGTTTGCTTTCTCCATCTCTCTCCCCTCCGCACCCGCGCCTCTGTTCCCCTCTCTCTTCCGCTTAGGGTTAGCCAGGCAGCAGCCCCCCTCGTGAATCTTCCTTCCATAGCGACCCCGACCCGGCGGCCATGGCCACGGCGGTTCTGAGATCCCACGACGCGCTGAACAACCGGATGCATCTCGACGCGTACACCCCGTCCCCGGCGAAGCCGCGCCGGCGCCGGAGCCCCAAGCCGGCGGCCGCGTCCTCGCCTCCCACCAGGGCCGCAGCGCCCATAGCCTCGACGCCGCCGCCGAAGCCTGCAGCGGTGCAGAAGACCGCGACGCCCGCTAAGGGCCCCGCGGCGCCTGGCCGTCGCTCGCCGCCGGCCAGGCCGGCTGCTTCTTCCCGGAAGCAGCCGTCCCCCACCAAGGAGAAGCCCAAGCAGCGGCTTGTCATGGAGGAGGTTCGGATTCTCAAGCGCGGCGAGGAGCCGCCGGCTCCCGCTCCCGCTCCCGCGCCGGTGGTAGCCGCGCCCCCCGTGGCGCAAGCCGCGGCGGTGCCGGCGGTTGACCAGCGCGTCCTCTGTTCCACTGGCCGGATCGGGCCGCAGGCGCCCGCCGTGGTGCCGACGAAGAAGATGGTGGCCGCCCCCGCCGCCGCCGCAGCCAACGCGGCCGTGTACGCGGGCCCGGCGTTTTCTGCCGCGGCGCCCGAGCCGAGCTCACTCCCCATGCCCGCCTTCTTCCTCCGGCGCGCGGAGTCCGAGGCCACCCGGGGCCTCCGGTGCCTCCTCCGCATCGGCGAGGTGGCCTGATACTGCTGACGTTCTCTCAACCAGCCTCTGTCTACTCCTCCGTTCACCCTTCGGCTTCGTCTCTTCTCCTCCTCCTCCTCGTCTCCGGTGGTTCCTTGATCTATGGATGGTTGGCGCCTGATGGGCGGTTGTTGGATCCGATGGAAAGCTAGCATCTCCGGATCGGATCAGATCACATCTCCCGGTAACCGTTCCGATCAACCTCTTCCGGTATTTTTTCAGAGGAAAGGTTGGCCAACGGGCTTCCGGTGGTTGGATTTGGTGGGCTTCGGTTAGGTTCACATATCGCTTGCAGTTCGGTTCGCTTCAATGGAAAGCTGATGTCTTTAGGTTAGAAGAATAACTATGAGTAAGAAAGGAAGGAGGGATGGCTGCTAGATTCGGTAGCTAGCTGTTGGCTGCTTGGTTCTACAGTAGCTTTGGAGCTTGGTTCTAGGTGTTGTGGTGGTGGTGGTGGTGGTGTTTGGTTCAGGAGTTGGGATTAAATTAGTGTCTGAAGTAGTTGTTTGGTTTAGGTGATCTTAAGTAGAGGACCTGATTATGATTCAGGGTAGTTTGTCGTTGCAATAAGGTTTGGTGTGCGTTTGATCTGTGAGAGTTTTGTGTTAGGTGAGTCATGAACTAACAGCCTGTTCATTTTGGCTGAAACGACCGCGGATTATTACTGCTGGCTGGTTTGGTGTTAGAGAAAAATACTGTTCTAGCTTATAATCCACGATCGTTTACGACCAAGCGAACAAGTTATGTGATGTTTAGTAGGTCAGGTGAAGTTCTTCTCTCATGTAAGATGTCAAGTTTGTATCTATCAGCTTAGCTGTGATATATATATATATATAAATGTTTAATTATCTCTAACCTGCCTCTCTTGCTTGAGGCTGGAGAGATGTCTTCCTTCTAGGTTACTGTTTCAGACTTTAACAAGAGTTTGCGTGGATTGAACTTAAACCTTCTAGTTTACTGTTTCAGACTTTCAGCTAACACAAGACTGCGTGGATTTGAACTTGAATCGGCGAGCTTTGTGCCGCGGTAAACGCTCTGCCAAAGACTTTAACCAGTGCACGCAACAGTCTTAGATGAGCTTCTATATATCTCAGAAAAAAAACATACCTCAGGAAAAAAACGAAAAAAACATTTTGAACATTCTGATGCTCAATCAAGCATACCCAAGATTTTGTTAGGTAAGGGCAAACTCTGCACGTTTTGATGCTCAATCAAGCACTTCTTCTCTAAACTTTTGAACATTCTGATGCTCAATCAAGCACTTCTTCTCTAAACTTCAGAACCTTACTGGAATGGCACGAACACATACAGCTTCGTCGACGGTTCGGGCTCTATACGTGATGACCACTTTTTCTTGTTTTAATTTTTTGGAGGATTGGCACCAAAACTGGTTGCGTGCAAGTTGAAGTATTCTTCTTTGGAGCGGTTGAACGTGCGTACTCTAGGAGCTTCCTTTGCATTACTCTGACCTGCCGGTTGTTGACCCACCGCTGAAGCTTTCGCCGGCTCGCCGTGCTCTGCTGAGTCAATTTGACTCCGTAAGCAGGACGCTGCAGGATGACTGAAGAACAAGAAGTAACCCTCGGAGCTTTCCATCTTCGCCAACAAGCGGTAGACTGGCGACCTCACACGACGTTGTACGTGTCTTACCTGCGATCGTTCGGCCACGAAATCGGCTGGGAGACGGGGGCAAAGGGGCCTTACGATGACGAGCAAATGAATGGAACCGTACCAAAAATCATCTTGTTAGGTCGGTTGGGTGCGCTGAGCTGGTGCTGAGCAAGAACAGTCGTCCCGATTTCGAAAGCTGAGCAATGAAAACAACAGCTAATCGTCCTTATTTAGATTTCGAAAAGCGATATTTTTTGACACATGTACTGCCATATAATAATTACAGTCAATGAAAACGAATCTTTTGAGCTAATTTGTTACTCAAATAACCAATTGACATTCGCCAAAAAATTGCAATCTAAACAAGGCCCAATTGACATTCGCCAGCGCTGTCATTTGCACAACATCTAGTGCGTCGTCAGTGACCAACTGACGGGACTTCACGGAACTTTTTAACATCATGAACCACTGAAAATTCTTCAATGGCGTCGATTTTACAATGTCTCAAAATACAGGCGAGTACCTAAACAACCACCCGACCCGACTGTTATTTGCCCTGCTCTAATTAGGTTTAAAAGATTAATCTCGTGAATTTCAAAACAAAATTAATTTTACTTTTATTTATATTTAATACTTCATGCATGCGTCTAAAGATTCGATGTGACAGAAAATCTTTAAAAATTTTGCAAAATTTTGAAAACTAAACATGCACCTATTCAAGACAGCGTAGCATTGGGTGATCGACTGATTAGGCAGTATTGCGCCAACCATCCCATCCCATTTTTTTTTACAATTTAACCTTTTTTTTAAGAAAATTTAAGTTTGACCATCTGAAAGGAAGACGTAAACTCATCTTTGAACCCTGGAGGTCGGTGTCAGGACTTATGGCGCCGAGATAACACGTCTCGACGCCACAGATCTTGGCTCCGAGGTGCCCGATCGTTATGGATGAAAATGGTACGGATATTTATTAGATGGTCCGCTCGAAAAATAAATTAACACTTATCTGGATAGTTACTCGGATATCCGTAAATTTTTTCGGATACGGATATTAAAACGGATATCTTAATCAAATTGTAATATCATCGATTCCGGCGGATATCGGATAATTAAGTATCGGATATATCCGGATATTTAAAAACGGATATTATCCGGATATTATTCAAACGACCTTGGATGGAAAATGATCAAAATAAAAATTGTAGATCTCAAAAGTTATGAAACTTTTTGTTTAAATTTTGTTTGAAATCATTTAGTGAAAATTTAAACATGCAAACTATTCAAATGAAAACTAGTTTATAGATTGCCAAAATTTAAAATCATAAATTTGAATCATCCAAACTATCTCAAATGGAAAGTTGACCAAAACAACAATTTCTTTTCATAATTTGACAAAACTTTTTTTGAAGAATTTAGAATAATACTAAGTCAAAGTCTTGACCATTTGAAAATTTGACTTGGTCAAACTTGCTCAAATGAGATACTAAATGACCTCAGATGAAAAAACTCTAAATACCAAGTTGATCATCTCAGCAAGATCTACAATTGTTACATAGCTCATTTTCCCATTTGAGAAATTTTTATCAAACACTAGTCACAAATTCTTGAATCTCATATAGACTTTCTTAAACTATGTCACACACTTGTGAAATTTGAACTATATTTTATTCAAACTTTCTCAAATAAAAAAATGGACTATATAAGGATTGTAGATCTTGATGAGATGAACAAATTTGGTATTCAAAACTTTTCAATTTGAGACAATCTAGGGTTCCTAATTTGTAAACATCGAAAATTAAAAATCACAAATTTGAACCTCCTCTATCTCTGGAAACGACCAAAACAACAATTGTTGATCTTGATGATTTGAACAAACTTGGTATTCAAAAGGAAGTCATTTAGAGTTCATAATACTAGAGTCAAAGTTCCTTTTTCATTTGACCATGACATGCAAACTTGCTCAAATGAGACCAAATGACCTCAGATGCGTGAATACTGCTTTGATCATCTCAGCCAATTGTTACATAGCTCATTTTTCCATTTGAGAAAGTTTTATCAAACACTAGTCACAAATTCTTGATGCTATAGACTTTACTCAACTATATCACACACTTGTGAAATTTGAACTACATTTGTTCAAACTTTCTCAAATGAAAAAATAACCTATATAAGGATTGACTTGATGAGCTGAACAAACTTGATTCAAAACTTTTCAATTTGAGACAATTTAGGGTTCGAAAACTAGTTTGTAAATCGAAATTTAAAAATCACAAATTTGAACCGTCCATATCTCAAATGGAAAGTTGAAAAACAATAATTGTAGATCTTGATGAGTTAAACAAACTTGGTATTCTAAACTTTTCAATTTGAAGTCATTTAGAGTTCATAATACTAGAGTCAAAGTGTTGTTTTTCCATTTGACCAAATTTGACTTGGTCAAACTTTAAAATGAGACACTAAATGACCTCAGATGAAAAAACTCTGAATACCAAGTTTGATGATAGTACTCTACAATTGTTACATAGCTCATTTTCCCATTTGAGAAAGTTTTATCAAACACTAGTCACAAATTCTTGAATCTCATACAAACTTTCTAAAACTATTACACTTGTGAAATTTGAACTACATTTTGTTCAAACTTTCTCAAATTGATATAAAATTTATCTTGAATCATGACCATCTCCATGAGACCCAATGAGCTTGGCTATTTCTACTCATCCGCGAGATTGGTGCTTGTATGATGTTTGATATATGATGTATCATATATTTATCTTATTTGTTGCTTTAGTCTTTCGCTTAATCTAGATGGATTATGGACTCATAGAGTGGTGTAATGGTTTGCAAAAATATATATATATATATATATATATATATATATATATATATATATATATATATATATATATCTTTGATCAATATCCGAATAGATATTTTATCCGATATAATAATTCATACCGTGTTCGGTACTCATTATTCGATCCGTAACCGAGTCAATCCGTATTCATATATGTCCGATGGATCCGTGTCCGATCGAATATCCGAATCAAATATGAAAACAAATATAATATGAGTGATATCCGTTCGTATCCGATCCGCTTTCATCCCTACCGACCGTGCGCAGCGAGGATTCCTAGATGACGTTAACGTGGTCGATACCTGAGAGAAAATAATGCCGCCGACCTCGGCGCCACACACCTGCGTGCCTCCTCTCCTCCGCAGACGCCCGCGTCAGCTGTTGATCGGAGAAGAGGAGAGGCTAGAGGATTCTTCCTTGCCCATGCATGCAAGCACCACCAACCAGGTGGTCTGCTCTGAAATCCACGGACCTGTAGTGATAGGCAGCATTCCATCGATGCTAACAGCTCGGATGTATTAATTCTGTGCTCCATTAGCAAAGCAACGCACGCCTCCTAGATCCTAGCTAGACCATTACGTAATCTATCATCGAGGAACAAAACAAAACAAACTAGACAAAAGTTTATTTTAATCAAATCTATCAGAAAAGTTATGCAGCCTGTTCAGCAGGGAGCTGACACAGCCTATTCAGGGGGCTGAAATTGATCTTTTTCGATCATGGATTATTGTTCTGTTTTTTTTGAAGCTGAAAAATTAGATCAAATTAAATTTACGATCGTTTAGGATGATAATTTTTTTATATAATAATTATCACTGTCGGTTCACGCCGAACCGGCAATGACAGATGGACTGTCACTGCCGGTTGAAGCCACTAACCAGGCGGTCGAAACCACGGACCTGTAGTGATACTCTGCATTCTCGATTGTAACAGCCGGATGCATTAATTCTGTGCTCCATTAGCAAAGCAATGCAGAAACTAGAACGCTAGACCATTACTAATCTATCAAGGAACAAAACAAAACAAACTAGACAAATATAGATTACAACAGGATACAGCAGCAGACACTATTGAGGCTGCGAAATTGAATTACAGTTGGGTTATTGTTCTGTTTGGTTTGAAGCCGAGGGCATTAGACAAATTACTTACTAGGAAACAGTTGATTGAAAACAGTTATGCATAAGCACTACGAAATTATTGTTTGTACTGATTAAAGGGTTTTGAAAGAACAGGAAAAAAAAGCACGGTTACTTTGGTCACAATTACTAATGTTGTGCTGGCTCTGACATCGTTGGGTAATCTTAAATACAGGTAATAAGAAATCTTAAATACAGGTAATAACTAATAAGAAACATGAAAGTTGCCCAACGAACAAGATGGATAAAACTACCTAAGACTGCATGTTGTGAGACGCTCAAAACCAGTATGGTGAAACTTCACTCAGCACATACATATTCATAAGCAGATTAAATAAACTTGGCAAAATAAACCATAGGTTAACAGAATCTATTAGCAGGCGGCGATAACGGGATCTAACATTCAGGGAAAATGTCAATGAACATAAATTGAAGCAGATATGGTCCTAAGCATACATATTGAGATATAGTAATGGGAGTCTAAACAACTATAGTAACGCCACATGTGAATAAAGCAATTCAATCTATTACATCGTTCAAGCTGCTAACACCTCTCCATAAATCCATTGATGAATCCTAGTAGCCCTTACAATAGTTATTCAGGCTTTTGTATACCAAAAGATGTCATGAACTAAGATTTGTGACTACAAACTTTTCAGTGTCCATTCTGCTCACCTCTCAATTGAGTGATTTCAATCCTCAGCAGGAAGAAACTTAATCTGCTTTCACCGATGCGAAAAGATAGTGGACAAAGCAGAATGAAGAAATAAACCCAACTGTGCCAGTTGCCAGCATGATAGCAATCACCATGAAGAGCGAGTAACCAATGTAGAGGGTCGCAGACACTGGTCCACTCAGGCTTTTGAGGTCAAAAACGAGATAGTTGATGGAGTACAAGAAAATGTAGATTGCCACCGATCCAGATGAGAAGAATGACTTCCACCACCACTTCCAATCCTCAACACACAGGTGCATGTAAGTCAGAACCAGGGAAACCTCAGCGCAGACAATAACCAGGAGCAGCAAGACGATGAAGAGGAATCCAAAGACATAGTACACACGGCCCATCCATATGCTTGACATGATGAAGAAGAGCTCGATGAATAGGGTGCCGAAGGGCAGTGTGCCAGCACCAAGAACCAACAACCAGGATGGGTACTTCTGAGGAGGGATTTCACGAGGGATCTGGTTCGTGCGGACAGGGTACTCAATATGTGGCGCCTTGGCACCAAGGAACCCACCAACAAGCGTGAGCGGGACAGAGATGCAGAACCAGAGCAGAAGCAGCACAACGAACAATGAGAAGGGGATGGCACCAGTGCTGTGGCTTCCCCACAACAGGAAGTTGAGTGTGGTCAGGATCAGGAATGCAATGCCGGGGAAGAAGCAAGCCACTCGCCACGAAACACCCACCCACCCAGAGTGATCCCCACACTTGATCGTCTTCCATACGCGAACACCAACATATCCAGCCAGGATACCAAGGACCAGATAGAAGAACAGCATGCCTGTGATCAGAGTACCACGGGAGGCTGGGGACATGAACCCGAGCGCAGAAAAGAGAATGGTCACCACCGCCATCCCAAGGATCTGAACACCGTCCCCAACCATGACACAGAGCAGCATCGGGTTGCTTGGCGCACGGAACACATCACTGACCACAAGCTTCCACCCGGACAGCTCCTCATTCATCTGCGCCTGCGCCTCGCTATCAAGCTCCTCGTACTTGGTGAGATCACGCCTCACGGTCCTCAGCAGAATGACAAACACAATACCAGCAAGGAAGGCAATCACCATGAGGGAGTTGAGAATGGAGAACCAGTGCACCTTGGCACCCTCCATCTTGAGGTAGGCATCCCACCTGGAGGGCCACTTGATATCGCTCTCCACGAAGTTCACCTCGTAGGTGTAGACAATGGGCTCGTTCTCCTTGATGCTCATGGACACAGTAGTCGGGTCGCACTTGATCTTGTTGGGGTACTGGTCGTACATCTTGCGCGACTTGACGTCCTCCGGGTTGTGCTTGATGCTGCAGGGCACGACCTCGAATCCGACCACCATCCAGCCAGGGGAGGAGGCGGCGTCCTTGGCCCCGGACGGTATGGCGTCGGTGGCGTCAGCGGCGCCCATGACGCGCGCAACATTGGCGTCCTCGTACTTGTGGACGAGGACGGTGAACTGGAGGTGGTTGAAGACGTAGTAGTCGACGCCGACGTGGATCCCGACGGGGTACCCCGTCCAGCGCATGAGGTAGTCGTCCTTCCTGGTGTAGCGGATGGCGGGGAGGTTGTCGAGGATGAGGTTGACCTGGTACATCTCGTCGATGCGCTTCTTGAGGAGCGCGAAGGCGTCGGGGCCCAGCGGCGGGGAGCGGCAGAGGAAGACGTCGGACTCGTTGGTGTACATGCGGAAGCGGTAGGGCGAGTTCTCGATGCGGTCGCCCATAAGGAGCTCGCCGAGGTTCTCGGCGCTGTCCTTGACCCCGTCTTGCGGCTCGCAGAAGGGGAGGCTGTAGTAGCTGAAGGGCATCTCGGTGTCGATGGAGGTGAGCGAGTTCACCTTGACGTTGAGGTAGTCTCCGGGGTTGTACTTGTGCGGGTAGCTCCCCGGGAGGTAGAATCCGCGGGCGCCCGGCACCGCGGCCGCGAGCAGCGCGGCCGCCGCGACGGCGAGGAGGAGGAGCACGCCGGGGCGAGCCATGGATCTGGATCGGCGGGCGCGCGGATCTGGGCCCCGCAGCAGTAGGGTCTGGGGTGGGCGGGTCGGTTGTGGCGCCCGGCCTTGCCCCGGCGAGGAGCTCGGCGGAGGAAGGCGAGGAGGGGGTGTCGGTGGCGGCGGAGCAGATCTGGTGGGGGGCGGGGTGGGTGGGGACGAAATGACACGGGGGAGGAAGCGGGGGGCGGTGGTGTGGTTTATACGGCGTTCATCGCTGGTGGTTGGGGACTCTGGGAGGGAGGGAAGGAACGGGGAGGATTTTGGCATGCGGAAGCTTCTTTGGCTGTGAATTCCCCGCGTTGCCCCTCTGCTAGGGGTTTTGCTGATAATACCGTGGGGGCTGTCGGCCTTTGTGGAGGAGGAAACAGGGAAAGTTTCTATCTTTGATGATTAAGGGTGTTTTTATTAATGATCTAGCTTAGAGCTAAGAGTATTGATTTTTTTCAATTATTAAATAGTGTAAAAGGTAAAAGATTAGCCTGGATTTAAGTGTTAGTCTCGTACATGTACATTTCATGATATATCTCTATATCTCAGAGCACAATATTCAAGGTTGCTTGATGCAGCCTCTCTCCCCACTATATTTTTTAACTTAGAGAATTAGTGCTATCCTGTACGGTTGGATACACCATTAGACCAACAAAGTTTTTAATACATTCAAACGCTTACAATTGTAAGTTTTATGTATGCAAGCACGCGCGCCTATAAACACAACACACATTCACATCATATCTCTATGAGCCTATTTGAATGGTCGAGTCGGCAGATCTCAAGATTGATAAAGTTATCACAAACGCCTCAGCATCGATGGGTACGTCGTCTACTAACGAAAAGAATAACATCATTAAATTCTGAAACCTTGTTGTCTATGTCTATGCCCAGATGAGCATGTTCCGCCATAAAAAATGTAAACTAGCTGAGCTATGCTTAGTTCACCACAACTTTGTATTTAGGTAAAGCTTCTCAAAAAGAAAAAAACAAACAAACTTCACAACATGGTCTGCGAGGCGTGTAAGGGGGTGTTTAGATCCCTTCTGGTTTGGAAAATGGACAATGTAGCACTTTCGTTTTTATTTGGCAAAAATGATCCAATTATGAACTATTTAGACTTAAAAGATTCGTCTCGCCAATTACGGTCAAACTATGCAATTAGTAATTCTTTTTATCTACATTTAATGCTCCATGCATGTGCCGCAAGATTCGATGTGACGGAGAATCTTGGGAAATTTTGGATTTTGGGTGGGATCTAAACAGGGCCTAAGCCATTTCATTTCAGGCTTCTGTTTTAGAAAATGGAATTTTATTGTGATCTCTATACGGGTTATGTAATAAACAACCAAAATTTAGGCCTTGTATTTGTACATGAACCTCATTGCAGTCGCCCTGTTTATTTGGGCTTATTTGACTGATAAATCATGGCTGAAAGTACTGTTGGCTGATTTAGTGTGAGAGAAAAATATTATTCGTTGGCTGAAAAAGTACGGCTTATAAGTCAAACAAGCCCAAACGAACAGGGCGAGTACCGTCTCAAGAAAGGTTGGTCCGTTGGTGCAGTGCTCTACCCTCCAATTTTCAGATTCGGGGTGTCTCATTGTGTCTGTTCGCTGGTTGATTTCTCGGCTGATAAGCCCGACTGTTACTAGTTTATTGTGAAAAAAAAATACTGTTGACTGACTAATAAATCCTGACTAAAACCAATAAACGAACTGATTGTTGTGACCGAGATCTAGACTAAAGTTTGGTCGACGGAGCAGGGTCAACCCGCGAGGCCATCACTCCACGAGCTTTACTGCTTGGTCGCACCTAAGATAAGATTATTTTATTGCACCCCTTTGGCTGTACTCGGCCTGAATTTTTTATTTTTAACTATTTTTTTTGAAAATTTTTCACAAATATGCTCTTAGAGGTAAGATTTTAAAATCTGGACCCTTAGTTCGGCGCCATCGTTCTTGTGTAGCCGAGGCATTGATTCGACGCAGACGCGAACTTGGCAGCGACAAAATGACGTCAGACATCTGGCCTTGCGAGCTTTCGGCGCCGTGATCTATGGCGCCGAGGCGGTGTCCGACAACACCAAGGGCTCGGCGTCATTGTCGCCTCCATTCATCGGCGGGCAACTTCACGCCTGTTCGTTTAAGGTTAGTTTGGCTTATAAGTAGCGAAGCGTAAAACTTGTTGGCCCGGTTTGAGTGTGAGAGAAAAATACTGTTCATTAGATGATAAGCCATGACTTATAAGTCGTTCGTGCGCGCTGCCAAATGCGGCGCCCGCGCAGGTACGGCACCTCTCCCGCGTTGCCGCGCCTAGCTTCCACTCGTCTTCTCCACGAGCCTCCGTCCTAGGATTCCATATTCCCATCCCGCCCAGGGCTGCCTCTTGAGTCGTCTGATCTGATATGCTCCTGCCCCCGGCTCCGTGGAGGTCGTTCGTTCTGAATCTGAGCCCGCATTCGCTCACCTGATCCGAGCGAACAAGTCCAGCCGCACCGCCCGCTTTCGTCAATTCGCCGTCCTGGTTCCAGGTAGACAGGCACTTGCGGTTGGATTGGATCCGGATGACACATCGGGTCTGCAAACTGCCGTGCCGTGCCGGTGCGTGATTTGACGCCATGTCTGCCGCGATTGGACCTGGCTGATGTCTGTGATTCTAGATCTTGACAATCCTGCGCCCTCGCTAGTCAGAGTCAGAAACCTGTGCGCGTCATACCAGCGCGCGCGCGGAGCAAGCGCTCCCGCCCGTCCGCGTTCACCGGCGCCGCCGCGCGCGCCGGGGTGGCTGAGGCGCCCACCATCCTCGTGCCGACTCCTATGTACTCGTCCGGGTCGTCCCACTCGGACCCCGAGAGCATCGCCGAGTCCAGCCCGCACCCGGCGCCGCCCATGAAGAAGAAGAAGAAGGCCAAGAAGCCGGCGCCCCCCGCGCCTGCTTCCTCTTCTGATGACAACGACGGCGACGCCGACTACGAGGAAGGCGGCGAGCGCGCGGAGCCGCAGGGCGGCGCCGTCAGGAGGTGCACGCATTGCCAGATCGAGAAGACGCCGCAGTGGCGCGCAGGGCCGCTGGGGCCCAAGACGCTCTGCAACGCCTGCGGCGTGCGCTACAAGTCCGGCCGCCTGTTCCCGGAGTACCGCCCCGCGGCGAGCCCCACCTTCGTGCCGTCCATCCACTCCAACTCGCACAAGAAGGTGGTGGAGATGCGCCAGAAGGCTGTCCGCAGCGGCGACCCGTCGTGCGACCTCCTGCAGTTCATCCGCCGCCGGGATTGACGTCCCGGCACGGCGTCGCCGGACTGTCGGTCGGTCCGTCGGTCGTTCTCGTCCCCCATATATAGCTATATATGTATACATATTAGTATGTATGCATGCATGGTTGCTTCATCAGTCATCAGTCGTCAGTCGTCGTCGTCGTCCATCATGGTCACCAGTCACCGCCATGGATCCCACCCATCATCACATGCATTGGTTTCTGTCAGCATTCATCCAGTCCCAATCCATCGCCGGGCATCCCGGCGTTGTTAGTTCATTAGGTCTTTTTTCATCGGGGGCTAGTGTTATTTTACCTTTCTTCTTTTTTGTCTATTGGTTAATTGGTTCCCCCTGAATGTTTTTTTTGTTTGTATAGAGAGAGAAAGAGAGAGAGAGGAGGGTGAGAGGAGGGGCAGGAGAAATAGATGAATCAGATTGGTTGCTGCATTGCAATTGCAGTTGCTTGCAAGTTAGGTAGGTGAGAAGGAGAGCTAAACCAGCAGCAGAGGGAGACAGATTTAGAGAGGAAACTTTGCAGCTAGTCAGTCAGTCAGTCAGTCACTTAGAAGAAAACAAGGAGAGTGCTTTAAGCACGTGAAAGGGGAATTTGTTGGTTTGCTAATTAGAAGGGAGGTTCTGTCAGGTCAGGTCAGGTAGTAGCTATCATCATCCATGAGGATTTTCAAAGGCCCCGTTTAGATGTCTCCAAAACCCAAAAAATTTTGCACAGTACCTATCATATCGAATCTTACGGCACATGCATGGAGTACTAAATGTAGACGAAAAAAAAACTAATTACACAGTTGGCCGAGAAATCGTGAGACGAATCTTTTAAGCCTAAATAGTTCATAATTGAACAATTTTTACCAAATACAAACGAAAGTGCTACAGTAGCCAAAAGCCAAAAATTTTCGGAACTAAACACGCCCAAACTTAAAAAGAGGGGGACAGCCATCATCCATCATAGTCTGTATCTGGAGCTTGGTGTACTGAACTCTGAAAATTCTTTTTGCAGTTCATCCATGTTTAGGGATTGATAAGTGTTGTTTGGTTTTATTCTATACTAGTAGTGCTACCTTTTAGTCAATAATTAATTATGAGCCTGTTCGCTGGTTGATTTCTAGACTGATAAGCCCGGCTGATGCTAGTTTATTGTGAGAGGAAAACACTGTTGGCTGACATTTAATCCAAAAAGCAAAAATTATGAATTTAACATAGTCACGAAGTGCGCGGCGTCGCAGGCTCACAAACTCTAGAGCTTTCAGAGATTGGGTCGAATCCAATCTAGAGCCTCGGAACCCTACATCTTTTATTGGACGGGCTTCACTTCGGATGCGCCGGTAGCAATATCAACTATCTCCAGTCGATGGACCAAGTCGTATGGATCCCTATACAATGGCTCAGACATATAGATTTTGTTTCCCTTGTATTTAGATACACTTGTTCCACTGAAGTTTTCATTAAAATGTTTAGACACAAATGAGGTGTCGATCACCGATGTCCTCACCACCGGACCACTCCGGCTGCGACGGTCGTGGAGGTTGCACTTGTAGATCGCCTGACTTCAGTAGGTGAAGCTCGTGTCTCTCGTGGAACGTGCTCACCATGGCACCCACAATGTGCGACTCACCGCTTGATTCGAGTGCAGCTGCGGTGGCGAGCCCCTGCAGTGGCGGCAATGATGACAACAGTGTCGCGGTTGGAGTAGTGCCAGCGGTGTTGCCGCTGCAAACGGAGATTTCTCCAGTGCAGTCAATCGCCAAGAACTTGTCTTGGCGAAGGGGCGATGGACCCTACGGAGAACTACGGTTTGGTGTCGAAAATGGCTCCATGCGCCGCTGACTCCAACCCGGCGTAAACGCGACCTCCGTGGAGCACCCAAGCATGGCCATGGCCCACGCGCACTCATGGCCGACGCGGCATCGGCGCGCCGAGAGCATGATCTCACGGAAGAACACGTCCCTCATGTCTTCTAGCTTGATGGCTCGTGCTGCAGCATCCGCGCCCGTGGCCGTTGGTGGGATGAAGGACCCACCGGGCGTGGACCCTAGACACGCGTTCCGATGAGGACGCCGCCGTGACGTGTTCGTCTGCTGGTGGGAGCTCAACGCGGGGGGCACGGGCACCGACGAATGGATTCAGCAGCGTCACGGACGCCGCCTCGTCCATGAGCGCCAGCCACCCACACGAGGGGCCGCACGCCACCTTGCCACGCACGTCGGGCAACGCGTCTTGAACAAGACCTTCTCCGGGACATAGTAGAAGCCGACGCGGTTCGAGTCGGGGTCGAACGGGAGCAGCAGGAGCGCCCCGCGAAGCAACGGGACGGCCGCGCCCATGGGAGCAAGCGGATCGGAAGGACGCCGTCGTCGTGGCTCGGGACGCGAGACGCTGCCCGATGGACTCGAGGAGATCCTCTGGCAGGCCGGATCTCCAGTCAGGGAGAGGTAGGGACCTTCTCTTAGGATTGGGAGGCTGAGTCATGGAAGACAGATGACATCAACTATGGTTCACGCAATAAACAGCAAGCGAGGACAATGGAACACGTGAGCTTGAAACCAAATGAAAGGAGGAAAAAGTTGTCCCTTTTACAAATGCAAAGAGAAGAAGTAATTAAATGTAGGTAGATTTGGCAATGTTCTCAGAAATGCAAAGAGGTTCATTTTGTCTTAATTCTCTTTCCTTCAGTGTTAAATCTCTTTCCTATTGCTCGTTGCCATGTATGCTGGTTCATGCAAACATGCAATGTGTATATAAATAGCACAATAAATTTCTACTTTCTATTTTATCGTGATTCATCTATCATATGACAGATAATATTCAATCAAGAAGAATGACACAATCAATTAGTAATTAAGATATCGTGGGATCGCAGATATGAACAGACAGACGAACCAAAATAAATATCGTATAAAAAAAATATCCACACTTTATTTTCTTAGAAAAAATTACAGCGCAATCGCCCAACGGCAGAACGAAACATACCTGCGACAAATTACCGTCCGGCTCCCACCCTTCCCTCGATACCGGGCCCACACGGTGGCTCCCGCACGCGCGCTCCTCCTCGCGTGCGCCAGAATGCCATGCCTTCATCGTCTTGTCGCTGTCTTCTAGATACATGTGATCCAAGCTCGGGGGCTGCTTTGGTTTCCAAGATGGGGCCAATTTGGCTGCTCTCTTATTTTCATCTAGTATTGTTGTGTTCAACTTCATCAATTATGTCTTCTTTTTTTCGGCAAACCTGTTATAAGGTCTAGCAGACATTCCATAAAAACAAGCTCTATTCATGCGTCATGCCCAATAGTCCTCTGATTTAAGCTTATCGGGCCCATTTCTGTTTTGCATTACAGGTGGTGGAGGATACACTTACCTCTCCGAGCCACTGTGGTGGGCCGGAATGACCACAAGTATGCCACAATGCTCCACTTAAGATTTACTCTCAATTTAAACTTTGGCATCCCCAACTGAATTTGCCTAGTGTTGATCTTCACAAGTGCTGCTTGGGGAGGTCGCAAACTTCATTGCTTACATATTTGCGCCAGCTGTACTCGTGACTCCACTCGGAGCGTTAAGCATAATCGTGAGGTGAATTTTCATACCATACCACAAGCTGGTACTGCTTAGATATGCGGTCCTGCGATCTTCTTTGCTTGACATTGAGTTTTTTCTGGAATTGGGCAGTTCAGTGTTGGCGCACTTTGTGCTCAAGGAGCGGCTTTTGAAGCTCGGGGTACTTGGATGTGTATCGTGCATAGTAGGCTCAGTTATTCAGCCTGTTCGCTTGTTGGTTTCAGCCAGCTCAAACCAGCCAACCAACAGTGTTTTCCTCTCACAAAAAACCAGCACTAGCCAGCCCAAACCAGCACCTGCACTGACCAGCGAACAGGCCCATTGTTGCTATGCATGCTCCTGAAGAGCATATGCCTAACACTGTCAAAGAAATCCGGAACCTAGCTACCCAACCAGGTGAGTCATTGCACCCAATCGTGCACATAACAGTTTGTTGGAGCTGCAGTTCTCACAGAATGTCTCCATCGTGGGGCTGTCGATCATTGGCAGGATTTCTAGCATATGCGCTGACAACATTGTTACTTGTGGGAACGCTAGTAGTCTTCTTTGAACCTCGATACGGTCAGACTAACATCCTGATATATCTGGGTATCTGCTCTTCAATGGGATCACTAACGGTAAGTGTGCTTTGAGTGGCAGATACACAGATTAACTGTAGGAATATGCAGTTACTGAGCTTTCCTGACTTTGTAGGTCGTTAGCATCAAAACCATTGGTGTTGCCATAAAGCTTACACTGGATGGAGTGAATCGAGGTGTAAATCTTAATAGTGCCAGCAATCTGGCAGTTTTGGGTGAGGAGATTTCATCTGCCATTTTTCGGGTTGTACATAGGAGCTTGTAAATTTGTGATTGTTTTTGTACTGGGACAGGATAGAACTTCACCATTGTTTAAAGCAAGCAGAATTATTGCCTGCATGTTGCACTTGATGCATCCAGCTGTGTTCTGCATTCTCGAATGATTTTGGTGTTGAACTAAAGATCAAAATAATGCACTTGATTTGCTTTTCACCATCAGCTTGGGGATATAAGCTTACCTAGTACTATATGCCTTTAGGGTATGTTTGCCGATTTCTAGAAACATTATTTTTAGGTAAAAATCGATCCTTACTCTCATCTTGTAATGTGAAATTTTGTCTTTAGCTAGACGAGCTGAAATTTGCTGGCCCACCTCTGAATTTGGATTTTTGCCAAACTGGTGCCAGAATGTCCCTGGCAAATTTATCAAAATACCCACCTACAGATTAACCTTCAATGTAACGGTAGTTTGTAAGGTACATCACTACATCATTAGGGCGAGGGAAGCTGCCTCAGGCTCTTTGCCTGCTAGTTGTGGTGATTCAGCGCCATGAACTTGCACTGCTCGCTCATGGCCTGGAGTTGCGCCTCCTTCCTGTCAAGCATTGCGTGTAGCCTCACATTCTCCTCCATCACCTTTTGGACTTGAACTTCTTTCTGAGCTTTCTCACTCTCAAGCTTCATCACCTTTTGGACTTGAGCTTCTTTCTGAGCTTTCTCACTCTCAAGCTCCTCCATCACCTTTTGGACTTCAGCTTCTTTCTCAGCTCTCTCACTGTCAAGCTGGTTAATCGCGGCACCTAGCCTGTTCATCACAAAGACAAGGAACTCAATGTGAGATAGATTGAGTACAGTTAAAGAGCTAAATTTGGATGCTACGTAGCAAAATATAAACATACTTGCCTGACAACCGCTAAAGAATGGACTTGACTTGGTAAAGTAAAGACTAACAGTTTGAAAGGGACTAGCCAAAGTACCGATGCATGCTCTCTATAAATGTGTTCATGCACATGCAGCAAGACCATGGACCTTTCTGGATCAAAGAAAACGTGTTTACCCATCCGTTGCCAATTAATACGTTCTTCAAGTTCTACAAGGGGGTACATATGGTTTCCGTGCAAATGAACACATCTCAGTACCCAACAAAAAAACACAAAGCAGCGAGATAGTTGCGAAAGTACCTTTGGAAATCTCCCATGATCCTGCTGAAACTGTCACACATGATCGTGCTGAGACTGTCACCTTCCATTGCTGCAGGACGGGCAGAAGCTATGGTATTCATCCCCAGGAAAGCTAATGGCCCCGTTCGGCTTACCCATATTCGTTTTGTTCGGCTTCTTTTTTCAACCGGAACAGTGTTGTTCTCTCATAACAATTCAGTCAGAACAGTGTTTTCCAGCCAGTTTCAGGCAGCCGAACGGGGCCAGAGTGAGAAGTTGATCCATGGACGGCATTCGCATCTTGGCATTTCGCACCGCAGGGATGCAGACATGCAGTGCGAATTTAAGAAATCGATTATCGACCCCAAATGCGCCCTAATTGGCCCCGTTCGGCTTACCTTATAATCCTCACTATTCAGCTTGTTTTTTCAGCCGAAACAGTGTTTTCCTCTCACAACAATTCAGCCAGAACAGTGTTTTTCAGCCAATTCAGCCAAGTTTTAGCAAGCCGAAAGGGGCCATTAAACCATAACAGCAAACGGACTCGAAAATCGCGTTGAATAGAAAAACAAATAAGCCGCGCGCGATGCTCCCCGGTCGCAGATCAGAATCAGACCAACCCGATTGGACGATTATTGTGTATATATACGCACCTGCGTTCGCAGCCCTGCAGAGGAGGAGGAGCGGCGGTCTCGCGCCGGCACCTCGTGGCCATGTCGAACTCGAACTAACCGCCGGCCAGCCGCCTAGAGTTGTTCCTCCCTCCCTCCTCTCTGCCTGCTGGCTGCTCCCGCGAGAGCACCGCGACTGACTTGGGGTGCTAGAGGAGGAGGACCGTGCCCGGATCTACGGTGCCAACTTCGCGCGCCATGATCTATGACGCCGAGCTCGGCGTTAGCATCTACGGCGCCGAGCTATCTACCAAGTCAGTGCCACGTATGCGTCAAGTCCAAGACTTCGGCGCCAGCAACGACGATGCCGAGACGTGTAATCTCGGCGCCAGCAACAATGACGCCGAGCTAAGGGTCCAGATTTTGAAATCATACCTCCAGGGACATATTTGTGATTTTTTTTAAAAAAAAAGACTAAAAAATAAAAAGTTCGGGTACTCGGCCTCTGTTCACATGTCCATAGCCCATTGTGTGGTGAGCGCGTGCCAATCGGAACCGGCGGTGCTGGTTGCCGGGGTATATGGCGCCTGGCGGGCGGGCCCCTCCCATCCTCTTCGTTCTCTGCTAGGTGGGTCCCTGTCGGTTCCTCCGTCTCCGTCAGCCGTCAGCATTCCTTGTATATGCATCAACAGTGATTCTTCCACTTCGTGCTGCGGAGCACACCCGACGCCGACGTCTCCTTGACAAGGCACCACCATGACACGCTGGAGGGCCAGTCAGTTAGTCCATACTTGTCGTAACCCTTTTCCCTGATCGGGCAAAAGCGAAACTTCGTACAGGTTTAGAAATGGCCGGCCCGGACGGAAAGGACGGACAGGAGCAGCTCGTCTGGAGCCCTCGACGCGTTTAGTCCACGCTCATCGTCAAACGGCAACAAACCCTGAAGGATTAGGAGCAGTGGCACTGGGACAATGGTTCAATTTCAACCTACCTACCATGTTGAATGCCAGCAAGCGAGCAGATCCAATGGCGTCGTGGTGTTTCAACCTACCAACCCAGACCACGGGACCAGGAAACGTTCGGCGGACCGCGGGCGCCCGCCCACCGACACCGCCGCTCTGCCATCGCGGCCAGCGTCCGTGGACCGTGACTGGGCTTCCGCGCACGGTGCACGCCGTGCTGGGCCGGTGGACAGCGTCGCGCCGTGAGGGCCGGGCTTCGCTGCCCGAGGCCGAAATTGCGAGAGCTGTGTCCCGCCGAATTCTACCCTCTGTTACCCACGGGCCACGGCGCACGGCGCGCTCGCTGCCCCATCAGATTGGGCCTGGGCTCAGCCGCTGAGGTACCGTACCTATTTTTTTCGTTTCCGTACCTTGGGGCTTGGGAGTACGCACCGTAGTGAAGGTTGACCTTAATCCGGCTACAGGTCTGTTGGTTTTTTTTGAAAGAACTACAGGTCTGTTGGTGCAGCTTGTAAACTGTTTACAGTTAAAATAAATTGAGATTGAAAACGAAGCAAATGTTTTTTTACAGTTTGTTTCTAGCCACACTTCTTCGCACATTCCTATTTGTACTAAAACATTTTTTGCTGTGTTTTTCTTCATTTGTACAAATTAAAAACTGAGCTTTTTTTTACTGTGTTTTTCTTCATTTGTACAGCTTCTCAACATTTTTTCCACCGATCTACTAATCAGGGTCTATGTTGATGCGATTTATATCAAGTTCCTTTATTCTTTCGTATAAGGCACAGTTCTTAGAGCATCTTTTGCCTATTTATCTGTAAATGTGAAATAGGTCCTAGCCGAGGGACTCAAGCTAATGTGAACGAGTTTACTAAACAAAAACTAAGCTCCGGTTTGAATTGCGAGATTTTAGCCTTGTATTACTATATTTTGTTATAAAAGTAAATAATGTTTTATAAATTTTTACTCTCTCCGTTTAAAATATAAGTTGTTTTGTATTTTCTAGATACATAACTTTTATTATATATTTAGATATAATACATATCTAGATGTGTAAAAAATAATTTATCTAAGAAAATCACGACTTAAAATTTGGAACATGAGTATATTCCAATGGATCCTAAACAATTGAGTCGCACTAAAGTCCGGGTGATTGGGTGAGAGACAATTTATAGCAACTGTTATACGTTATTTATCACCAAACCATAAAGGTCTCGATCTTAGTACCTGCAAAAGCACTAACAAAGAAGCTCATCAAAAGCACTACCCGACTCTTTTGTTGCCGTGATAAGCAAATCACGCCTTGCTCGGCTGCCCTTCTTCCCATGGCTACGGTTTTAGCTGTTTCATGTGCATCTCCTCTGCTTGTTTGTTATACAGGAGTATTTTACAGAAACAGGTGCAGCGGTCGTGCTGCAAAAGAGCGATGCTTCCCATGTTGCCCGATAGCTGACAACGCCTGGCACAAGAATCAATTAGGATTCAAGTATACACATATCAACAAAGAAAGAATTAAAAAAAAGGAAATAATAAAGGAAAGTAGCCACTTGTATTTTAAGATCTTGTTTGGGATCCATCCAACCAACTATTATAGCAAAAATAGTTTCAACAACTTTTTCAATCAGTATATGTAAGTGTATGTTTCAACAGCTTTTTCATCGTTTTCACATATGTAGTTAATATTTATAGCAAAAAAACACAACATTATGATACAAAATAGGTGAATTAATATCTACATGCGCTGTCCCCCTAGTTCCGCCACTACATGCGCTGTCCCCCTAGTTCCGCCACTACATAGAGCAGGACAGTTCTACGACGGAGAGGGTGGGATCTGTTTTGGTGGTCCTCGACCTCGAGCCCTCTACCTTGGCAAAAGGCGTCCTCACCAAGCTTTGTCCGTTGTTTGTTGTGGCTCCTATCTAGATGGACAAACCGATGCACTATTGTGGCCCTATTTTGCATCATACACCGTTGTTATCCAAGAGTGTTAGCTAAGACTAAAAAATACTTTTCGAGATGGCATCGTTTTTTCTGACCTCTTTCAGAATCCCTCATGTTTGGAAACGCGGTGCCAGCCACAGTCTATTTAGATTCCTACAACTAATAGTTAGCTACTAAAAATTAGCTAATAATCTATTTAGACCTCCGGCTAATAAGTTTAGCTAATGTCTTACCACCCAGCCCATAATTAGCTATTAGCTCCTCCTAGCTAATAAGTTTAGTGGATCCAAATAATGTCTGGTCACCTTACGCCGACCACCCAGCCCATAGGTAATAATTGTCCAAACATTAGCTATTAAAGTACAACCAAACTGGTTAGTCTTTTAGCTAATATATATAATTGTTTGATGTGACGGGGAATCTTCTTTTTCCAAACAAAGTCTTTTTGGATGAACTAAATGAGAAAAAAAATGGCTAATAACTAAAGTAATTGTTTGCTTGGTGGTAGATAATGCAATATAACTAACTTATTAGTTGATCAAACAAGACCCTAGATACTTTTAGCATCTAGTTTTAGTTACATGGGATCCAAACAGATTCTTTTTTTTAATCCTAGAGCAATTAATTACACATACTCCCTTCATCTCAAATAACCGATGTTTTTGGATTTTAAAAATATATTATAGGTGACAGCTAATGACACGTGCGCGCGATATTTGCCATCCTTCCCCGGACAAATAAATGCGAATGCACAAGTATTGATGGAGAGGATGGGGCATGAGTGGAGTGCATGGAGAGGTGCATGGTTAATTTGAATGGTCCCTACAACTCATGTTTCCACTCCAATTCGTCAGTTATTGTAGGATAAATTTGAAATTTAGAACATCAGTTATACAGCTTGTTCGCTTGTTGGTTTCAGCGATCCCAAATCAGTAGCCAATAGTGTTTTCTTCTCAAAAAAATCAATAGCCAATCACCCAAACCAGCACCAGCACCAACCAGCGAACAAACCCACAATTACCGATGTGAGCTTCATTTTATTGACAGTATGAGCCACACGATCCAGTCTCGTGGCCGCACTGACCGTAAATAGCCCTGTTCACTTGAACTTATCAGTCTAATTCATCAGCATGAAACATTATTTTTCTTTCAACAAATTAGTTTCAGTCTTATCAACCGCAGGAACCGTCAGCCTTCCTAACTCATTTCAAAAAGGAGTTCAAATTCTGAATTGTAGTGCCCATATACGGCCATATAATACTATAGGAGTACAGTATAAAGCATAAAATGGAAAACATGGAAACTCGTTAAAGTGGAACAGTAAACAGAGTACCACAGCAAATTTAAGCCATGTTTAGTTACTCCAAAACTCTTGAAAAATACACTATACAAAAAAAGATTTTTCGGTCACATCAAACTTGCGGTACATACATAAAATACTAAATGTAGACGAAATTAAAAACTAATTGCACAGTTTGGTTATACTTTGCGAGACGAATGTTTTGAGCATAATTAGTCAACGGTTAAACAATTATTACCAAATACAAACGAAAATGCTACAGTGTCGCGACAAGA